GTTGAATCTGGTGGCTTCATTCCATTCACTTGAAAAGCACGGCGAGGAAAATGAGCCAGGCTCGCTGCAATGTTCCTGAACGAGTCATCTCTCTGAGAAGGGCTCAGACGCTGAATGCACAGCTTTCTCTTTCAGAAATAATGGGCAATAAACCCATTCTGCCTGAAAGTTTTGAGACACAGAGCTTTCAGCTCTTCTGCTAATAGAGTCTCATGTGCACGCTCTGCTTTAAAGGCAAAAAAACAAAAACAAACAAACAAAAAAAACCCACCTGCCTCAGCTTCAACTGAATCTGTGATTCCCGGAATACTGTTTATCAATGGACTTCAGCGGTCCTTAGGTTTAAAGTCCATAAAATTTTGCCTTAAAGTAGCAGATCCTACTCTATCAAACCACAATTCAAGTAACAAGTAAATACAAACATATATGTATGTGTATTTTTTTTTCACTTTGGTTTGAAATACTAAGGAAGGTTCTTTGGGATAAGCAATATGAAAATTGCTGAGCAGAGCTGAACCAGCCAGAAAGCCAGAAGGAAAAGAGATAGCAAGACATTCAAGGCAGATGTGATGGCAAGATAAAACAGTGATGTCAGGGGTGTGGCCAGGGTCTGAGGGAGCGTGGCATGAAGACAGACATGTGATGGAGCCTGGGTCACGCGAGGACCAGCCAGCTGATAGTGGGGCCAAACTGTAGCAGATCAACACCTGTGGTTAGCATAGCTTTAGAGATGAGGATGATGACCACATTCTGAGAAAGATCGTTGGTCTCCGGTTAGAATGACCTGAAGTGCTGACGGCAATAACATTCCATTTCATAACAAATGCCCCTTGAATTGATATGACCGACCATCTAGACTTTTCTTTCAATGGACCGATAATTCAACTTCCAAAGATGGGGCTACTTTGGATAAGATGTGCAACCCTGTGGGAGATAAACATTATTCGGCCTAATAAACACTCTCGGAGGACACATTCATGTCTGGTTCATCTTTCACAGCACCTAGACCAGTCCTCAATACGTCTGGGCTGAACACTGAAAATCACCTGCTTTCCTAGCTCTCCACGTCCCCTTCCCGTCAGTTGGTGTGCCACATGAGGCAGGAGCGGACCTAACTCTGGTTTTAGTGTTTGCATTAAATGAACCCTCACTCTGCACATTTGCTTTCCACTGAGAAGCCAAGAAAGGGCCTGCCAGCACAATCTGAGCCATACTCTTGAATAAAAAATAACCAGAGGTAGAGTTATTCTTTGGTCAAATGACAGAGATTGCAGCCAGTATATAAATGGGGTCATTTTTTAAAATTGCACTATAAATCCCAAGAATATAGCTGCTAGACAATTGGCATGAAATGTCTGAAAACAGGCTTCCAGAAAAAGGTAGAACCACGGCAGCAAGTCTTTAAGCAAAGAGCCAAGACAGGTCAAGTTCATCTATTAACTTCTTGTGATAAGATTTAATCACAGTGTGCGTCTTTAAAAAAAAATCAAACAGATTATCTGGATCAAGCAGCAACTATGAAAGGAACTGAGGAACAAGACAAGAATTCTCAGGCTCATTCTTATTTCTGACCACCAGAGAGAGTCCAATTCCCTTCCCAGATAACCCGGGTATTATCTAAAACTAGTCTCTTGTTGGTAAATATTGGCTTTGTAGTTGATACTCTGTTTATTTCAAAGACTGAATAAACAGAATCTTCATTCAGTGAGGCAGTGATTTTCAAACACTGCTGTACATTAGAATTTCCTGCAGAACTTGGTAAACATGCAACTGTCTGGACCCAATTCCATTAAATCACCCAGGAAGATTTAAAGGCATGCTTATGCCTGGACCTCACTCTAGACCAACTGAATCACGATCTCTGGGGATAAGGCAAATAAATGCACTGGTATTTTTTAAAAGTATCCGCATGAGACTCTAAGGTTCAACACCGGGTGGAGAACTCCTGCTCTACTGAGTCTGGTTTAGCAGGTAAGGGTGGAGCCCCGCCCTCTCCATATATAATGGGTGTCACAAGTGATTCAGACGCCCATGACCTGTGGACCCTATTCTCACTACACTGGCCTGGAACTCATCGAAGGTCTAGGTGACTCCAAAGCTCTGTGGATCAGTGACTATCAAAAGCGGGCAAGTCTCACTTTGAATTCTTTTCTGTCATAGCAACATCACATAAATATAACTCAGTCTGGGGGGAAGGGTATAGCTCAAGTGGTAGAGCACATGCTTAGCACGCATGGGGTCCTGGGTTCAATCCCCAGTACCGCCACTGAAAAACCAAATAAATAGACCTAATTACCTTCCCCCTGCAAAAAAAAATTCAGTCTGCATGGTGAGGAGGGAGGGTTACATTAAGCACAAAAACCAAATTCATAAACTGATTACCAATAGATACAAACTGTGTCACATTAGGGTAAAAGTTGGTTTTTGCGGGGAGAGCATAGCTTGAGTGGTAGAACGTGTGCTTAGCATGCACAAGGTCCTGGGTTCAATCCCCAGTATCTCCTCTAAAAATAAATAAGTAAACCTAATTACCTCCCCACAAACAAACAAACAAAAAGTTGATTGTCATCTGAAGGTGTGATCAGAATTTCATAAGCAGATTGCATTTCTGAATCAAAAGTAACTCAAAATTCATATACAGCAAAAATCAGTTTTAGAAATAAGCTTTACTTCAGAAAACACTATTTATACTAAATCATAATTAACATATAAAAGTATCCTTAAAATAAATAGTCAATGGGGTAAGTACAAGGATTGCACATTGCAGCATTTGATTTTTATTTTTATTTTTTAAATTTAATGAATTTATTTTAGGGGCAGAGGGTAGTTAGGTTCACTTATGTATGTATTTTTAGAGGAAGTACTGGGGATTGAACCCAGGACCTTGTGTATGCTAAGCATGTGCTCTACCACTTGAGCTACACCCTCCTCCCCTTTTGCAGCATTTTAAAAGGCTTTTTTATTTTATTTTTTATTGAAGCATGGTTGATTTATAATGTTAGTTTCAGGTATACAGCAAAGTGATTCAGTTATACATATATATACATATTTTTTTCAGATTATTTTCCATTATAGCTTATTACAAGAAATTGTATATGGTTCCCTGTGCTATACAGTAGGTCCTTATTGTTTATCTACTGTACATATAGTAATGAGTATCTGTTATTTCAGACTCCTAATTTATCCATCCCTCCACCTTTCCCCTTTGGTCACCATAGTTTGTTTTCTATGTCTGTGAATCTATTTCTGTTTTGTGAATAAGTTCATTTATGTCATATTTTTTAAGATTCCACACGTAAGTCGTATCAAATAATATTTGTCTTTCTCTGACTTACGTCACTTAATATGATCATCTTTAGGTCCATCTATGTTGTGCACCATTATTTTTAATAGCAAAAAATTTAGACAACTTAAAAGTCTATTCAGAAGAGGACTAGTTATATAAAATATTGTACGTAGTTAACTAGAATGCAGCCGTTAAAAAGAATGCTGCTGCTCTCCACATATTAACCAAAACAGACCTCTAAGATGTAACTTGAAAAATAGAAGCAAATGGCAGATATGGATGGAGTATAAAGCCATTTCTGTTTTTAAAAATTTGGCCTGTATGAAACCTGTGATATTTCCCTGGAAAGACACACAATAGCCTGGTTGTAGCGATCTCCTTCAGGGAGGGAAACTGGTTGGGAAAATGAGACTCACTTTCCCCATTACTATTCCTTTGGCCCTTTTGGATTTTTGTACCATTTGAATCACTAAATCAAAAAATTTTAATCCTCTTTTCTTGAGGTGGGGGGAGGTGGATAATTAGGTTTGTTTGTTTGTTTGTTTGTTTATTGTTTAAAGGAGACACCAGGAATTGAACCCAAGACCTCATGCATGCTAAGCATGCACTCTATCACTGAGCTATATCCTCATTCCATCAATCAAACTTTAAAAAAAATAAAAGGTCAAGTGCAAACTGTAAGCTTTTAAAGTACATCTTCATATGAACAAACCCTGGTACATAGCAGACATTTAATAAATTTTTATTAAATAAACCTGCTACCTTATTTCTCCTCTCCTCTTATTCAAATCTTTTCTTTCCTTGGTGCCAGGGTGGTGAATAACTAAAGTTTCACATAATAGATTATGCCTCGGCCCTGACTGAGTGCTAAGTGTGTGCTGAGCATTGTGTTAACCTCTTGACTTGTGTTCCTCATCTCAGGTAATTCTACAATTTCCCTGTGAAATAGATATTATCATCTCTCTTTAATACATGTGAAAACGGAGGCTCAGAGAGGTCACTGCAAACTCAAGCAAATACACACACACAGACAGACACACACACAGAGGCACACAAAATCAAAGAAGCACTTTTAAGGTGTATGCAAAATGCAGTGGGGTCTATGAAGATAATACGCTCTTTGCCCTTCCAAAGGGTCTTAGCAGGGGAAACACTTATGTCTAATGTGACCACAATCCAAGGCAAGAGAGAGCATCGTGGTGGAGCCTGGAAGGGGAGAAACCCTAGGGCAGGAAAAGGAAGGAATCAAGGCAGGACTGGCCAAAGAGGACCTGGTTAAGTAAGACTCTGAAGGGAGGGGTCAGGAGGAAAAGTGTGATTCATGACTTCACACTATACTAAGTGCTTTGTACATTATCACCTTTTTACTTCTAATCCTACCAATTCTGAGTATGCTTATTTCCAATTTTAGATGAATAAGCCAAAACCTGAAGAAATCTTCCCCAGATGCTTCTGTTAGGGACTGCTCACATGCATTGCCTTGTATACTGATGTATAACTTTGTGTGTGTATGGGGGGTGTGTGGGGGTTCTCGTGAATACAAATCCCTTATCTCTAAAACAAGCATAAACTACTTGAGGCAGGAACCTTTATTTTATTCTTCTTTAATATCCCCCATTATATGATCACATAGTAGATGCTGAAATATTTACGGAAACATATTAATGCTAAACTACGTCTATATCATTTCTAACTACTTTTATTTTGTCTAAAGGTTTTATGACAGCGGATGAGAGAAAATTATTTGACCACCTCAAATCTCCTCATCTGAAATATTGGGTTCCATTCATCTGGTTTGGAAATCTCGCAGCTAAAGCTCGGAAAGAAGGCAGAATCAGAGACAGTGTGGATCTGCAGTCACTGATGACTGTAAGTACATCGTAAACTGTCAGTAAAAGATGCTAATCAGAGACCAGCAGGGACCGGGATGCAACAGGTTGGACCTGGACAAGTCTGCTTTGTTCAATCCTGGTTCCAAAGGAACCGGAAAGACTGGGTGGGTATCAGAACCCTCACCATGCGGGAGGGCAAGGGTACACAGGTTAACTCAGGTTAATTGGTAGCTTAGAGGCTCTGTTTTAAACCGAATTAGGCTTTGTGATAGGCTGTGTAAGAAAGTGTTCCTTGATTGATCATCACTGCCTACCCAGGACTCTGAAGGACCTGGCACCAACAAGGCAGCTCTGCCATCCCTAACTCCAGAATCCGAGAATAAAATCTCGAGTAGAAATAAACCTCCCCAGTCAGTTTCCCCAAACTGGAATCTCCCAGGGTTAATTCAGCTTCCCAGACGCTCCTGGAAACCAAACTGTGTTTTCATGAAATGAAAGAACCCTGAATTCATTTGAGAAACAAATTTATAGAAGAGCTGGGTAGATTTGTGCCATGACAGCCCTCTGCCTGGATTAGGCTAAAAGGAGTGAATGATTTAAAAATAGCTCCCCAATTGGGGGAGGGTATAGCTCAGTGGTAGGGTATTTGCCTAGCATGCATGAGGTCCTGGCTTCACTCCCCAGGACTTCCATTAAATAAATAAACCTAATTACCTCCTTCCTAAAAAATTTTTTAAAAATAGCTCCCAGATTAACATACACTCTTTTTCCCAGTCTTAAATAATAACTTGTGTTCAATAGAGGAAAAAAAAAATCAATGGGTCCCAGTACTTCCTGCTCCAGAGATACATTTTCTGTCGATATCAGCATTCTAAAGTCTTCATTTGTTGGGGGAAAGGTTAAGGATGTATTTAGCTCTTTTTTCTAAGATCTATAGTAAGCATGTTTTTGAAAGAGATAGAGAATCAAAAAATAATCTGCTTTCCACATAATTTACCAAAATGGCTAGAAGTGGCTTATTTAAAATATTAACCACTGCCTTCCCACCACCACTTTGGACCAATATATATGTTGGAAATTATGGATTCAGTAGAATAGGGGATATTCCTATAGTTCTGATTTATCTTAATATTTAAAAATGTCCAACTGTACTCATTTTTTTTGCACATTGCTGAATGATGTCGGTAGCCCATGATTTTCAAAATGCTCTTGTTGGGGTGGCCTTCAGAACCACCATTTTACAGGCATATTCCTAAAAGGTACGGCCACATTCTGAGTCAGTAAATATTTATGACTACACCCCTCATTTTAGTCACCCGTGTTTTCTCTGTTTCTGGCTCAGGAAATGAACCGGTATCGCTCGTGGTGCAGCCTCTTATTTGGTTATGACTGGGTTGGGATTCCGCTGGTTTACACGCAGGTATTGAACACCTGGCACATGACTTTCCTTTCTACTTGCCCGCTTTGCTTGCTGTGGGCAGCCAGCGCTGGGCTCTCACTTGGGTTTCTCTGTTTCAGGTCGTCACACTGGCTGTCTACACCTTCTTCTTGGCGTGCCTGATTGGACGCCAGTTTTTGGATCCCACCAAAGGCTACGCGGGGCATGATTTGGACCTCTACATCCCGGTCTTCACTCTCCTACAGTTCTTCTTCTACGCAGGATGGCTTAAGGTAGCCGACAGTCTCCGTGTCTGAGATCTGCTCTGTAATCTTCATCATGTGCCAAACTCTGCACACTGATCCCTAACTGAATCTCTCATTCATGAGTCAAAGGTAGATTTAACATTTATTAGTTCAGAGATGTTATCACTTTTCAACCGGAGATTAAAGTGACGGGGATGTGGTGAGTACTGTGGGACAGTCTGAAGCAGCTCATTTACGCAAAGACATTACCAGGACAGACTTTTAGGGCTATTGATTGTTTCAAGTCTTTGTGCGCTCCCATTAGGATCACGATGATGTAATTAAGGTAATGACCATAACTGCATTGATATCTATGCCACAACGAGCAACTAGGAAGAGTAAAAGAGAGTAACTAGGAATCCTTGTATCTCAGACTTAAGTATTAGGATTATGTTATTATCTTGGTTCTGCTCACCTCTGTAAATAGCTTCTATTTCCTGAAATTCCACTAGCTGTCCCACAACTTTAAATGCATCCCATTTTCAAAACCAGACCTGAGACTCAAAAGAATTCATCAGAAGTTCACGAACAATAGTAAATGCTGGAAAGGACGTGGGGAAAAGGGAACCCTCCTACATTGTTGGTGGAAAAGTAATTTGGTGCAGCCACTAGGGAAAACAGTATGGTGATTCCTTTAAAAACTAGAAATAGAGTTACCATATGATCTAGCAATCCCACTCCTGGGCATATATCTGGAAAAAACTCTAATATGGAAAGATACATGCACCCCAATGCTCATAGCAGCACGATTTACAATAGCCAAGACATGGAAGCAACTTAAATGTCCATTAACAGATGACTGGATAAAGAAGATGTGGTGGATACCTACATATAGATATCTATCTATAGATACAGATATAGATATAGATATAGAGAGGGATACAATGGAATACTACACAACCATTAAAAAGAATGAAATAATGCCATCTGCAGCAACATGGATTGACCTAGAGATGATCATACTAAGTGAAGTAAGTCAGACAAAGACAAATACTATATGATATCACTTACATGTGGGACCTAAAAAAAAATGATACAAATGAACTTATTTATAAAACAGAAAGAGACTCACAGACATAGAAAACAAACTTATGGTTACCAAAGGGGAAAGGGTAGGGAGGGATAAATTAGGAGTTTGGGATTAGCAGATACAAATGACTATATATAAAATAGATGAACAACAAGGTCCTAATGTATAGCACAGGGAACTACATTCAGTATCTTGCAATAATCTCTAATGAAAAAGAATATATTTATGTATAATGGAATCACTATGCTGTACACCAGAAATTGACACAACATTGTAAATCAATTGTACTTCAATTAAAAAAATTCATCAGAATAAAATCAGAAAGTCACTGGGGGAAAAAAAAAGAATAAATAAAGTCAGAAAGACCAGGATTAATGATGGTGTTTGGTTTGCCATGAAATTAAAAACAGGCCAGAGTATTGAAAACAGCTAGTCCAGTCATCAGGGTAGAATCTCATTTTTTCCCACCACCATCTCCCCCACCCACCCCTTCTTAGATATATATGTAAATATCAAATGCCTGAATCTTCCAGCTCTTTCGTACGTGACAGAAAACGATCAGAGACGGTGGCTTCACTAAGTTAATGGAAATCGAAGGACAGTTGGAAGATAACTTTACTAAAACAGAATTTTCAGATTTTTGACCTTCCCAGCAGCCACCTGCTGCTGGCGTGGTCCAGGCCTTCCAGGTTGTGGCAGCATCTTCCCTGCAGATGCCTTTACTTTCATTGGTTTGAATCTTAACCAGGAAAAATTTATATGTTAGCATTTCAAACTATGCTCCAAAGAGTAGAGGCATGTGTTTTACAAATGGCAAAACCATTTTTAGCCAGAGGACAGTGACTCAATTATTTTTACCCATTTAAGATGGAGAAAGAGCAAGAGAGACCAACAGCTCTCATTTCCCATTAGAGAAAAAAAAAAAGTAGACTCCACTTTTATAAATGGAAAATCACCACAATTGGCCCAAACACTCAGTCACGCTGGTCTTTCATTGTCCTTTCCCCTGAGTTGTGATGAGCTTTTTGCCCTTCACTTTGTGTCCATGTGAGTGAGGTGTTCGGCCAGCCTGGAAGGAACAGTTAGCAGCTGCTGCCTTCCGAAGTGCTCTCTAAAACATTAACATTCTTTTCCTTTCCTTGAAGGCAAAGTATGAGAAGACAGTCTTAGCTCCATTAAGAGGTAGGCAGTCCTAAGAGAAGAGAGCTTTCCCGCCCAGTGGTCTGTATCTCGATTTCTAAACAGCTGTTTTGTCTTAACCATTGTAATATTTATAAAGCTTTTCAAAGTACAGAAAACCCATCTTAATCCTATGGACAGTGAATTACTCAGTATTTGCTGATGGGGCCTCCCAGTGAGTAGAGGGTATTTCTGTGGCATAGTCAACTCAGAGACATGGGTATCATTTTGGTAGTTAAACGTGGACTCTGATATGATATTCAGGACTGACCCCATAAAAGTGAACTTCTGGATATGACCAAAGTATTTTCAGGACCCATCCAGTAGCCCATTTAATTTAAGGAAAACCGCCGGCAAGAAAGGGTAGACAGGCCCTTGGAACGTGCAGTGAAGGACGTGGACGTGGACATCACTGTGAGGCTGACTGACACGGGACCCAGGCCCCGCCACGGGCTGTCCCTCACAACAAGGGTCACGTACTTCTCTGAGTCAGTGGTTCTCAACGCTGGCCACACATTAAACCCTCCTGGGAGCTTCACCCAATTCTGATGCCTGGGCTCAACCTCACACCCATTCAGTCAGAGTCTTTAGGGGAGGGACCCAGCCATCAATTTTCTTTAAAAGCTCCCCAGGTGACTATGACATTCGGCCAAGGTTGAACACAACTGCTTTAAGTGGTGAGACTTAAATCCTAAAAAGACACACAGGTAGGTTTCTACCAAATAGTCTCAGAATCTAGGAGCTCAACTAATCAATGGTGACTTTATTTTATACACTTGAACGTCTTTCACATCTAGGCCCAGTGTAAAATCATGCACACACACGTGTCCAGATAATAAAAAGTAAAAGTAATTAATCAAAATGGAGAATAATAGGTGAGTCATACTTGGCATATAAATCTCTCATCAAGAAGGCTACTCAATTCAGGAACATGGTAAGACCATCTAATGTTGACCAACCATTGGAAGATACAGGAAGCTATGTAACTTCTGAGTAACTTACTAGATGGCAGTAAGTCCTTTACGGTAAAACTAAGTAAGACAAATTCCAGCTTTAGGACTTAGTCACTCTCTGACTCATTCATTTAGCAGTCGTGTCCGATAATTGTGAATCTCCTTGTCTTATTTTCTTTAATTATAATTTAACTCTTTCTTTGCTGTTTAACCTTTCCCGTGTTTACATGTTATCTGGTCACCTGGGCCTGTGTAAATTCTTGAAGAGCAGAGGCTATGAGACAAGTACCATATGATGTTACTTATATGTGGAATCTTAAAAAAAAAAAGATACAAATTCTATTTACAAACCAAAAACAGACTCATGGACATAGAAAACAAACCATGGTTATCAAAGGGGAAATGGCGGGGAGGGATAAATTAGGGGTTGAGGATTAATAGACACACATTACTATATGTAAGATAGATAAGCAAGGACCTACTGTATAGCACAGGGAACTATATTTAGTTTCTGTAATAATATATAATGGAAAATAATCTGAAAAGAAAATATGTATGTATGTATATGTACAACTGAATCACTTTGCAATATGCTCGAAACACTCTACATCAACTACACTTCAATAAAAACAATTTTTTTTAAAAGAGTACAGACTATGTACCCCTCAAACGGTCTAGCACAGTGCCTAGCACGTCGTCAGTGCTCCTTCGATGTTCACTGGCTTGATTTGTACCTGAGAAGCAATCATTTGGCTCCTAAGCAGTACGGAGCTTCTCCCAGCTGGGGCCTGCACTGTCACCGGCAGCGGCACAGGCAGAGCCATGGGAGAGCATGGGGTGTGTGACTCGCAGGTGTGTGATTCGCGGTCTCACAGTCCCGCCTCGCTTGCTCTCAAATACCTGTGTCTGCAGAACAGCCGACTCCCCTCCTGGCTTCCTGTTACGAGAGAAAGCAGAGAGTGAAACAGGAATCCTCTTCAACCTCCATTCTCGGTCCTCACGAGCACCATGGCAGACCTATCCTTTGTTCTCCGTTGCAGGTAGCGGAGCAGCTCATCAACCCTTTTGGAGAAGATGATGATGATTTTGAAACTAACTGGTGCATTGACAGAAACCTGCAGGTGAGGGGAGCTTTTCTTTCCCTTATGAACATTAATAATAATCACATGTGATGTTTTGAATCTAAACAAGCCCTAAATGCAGCCCCCTGAACTTGAGGGCTTCAGCCTCAGATGAAAGAAGTTTGGCTATTAAGTACGTTGTGTCAGGGTCCTTTTGGAACCTCACAGGTCCTGGATCTCAGTGCCAGTGAAATTTAGACCCTTTGAAGTAGAATTTCAAGCCAGTTTTCTTTGTAAGTTTCTTTATTAGCTTTACATAGCTTCTTCCAACTTAGTACAGAATAATATTTTAATTCATTCTTTATTCTGTTTCCTATTGTCACCTAAAAAGGTTAACAGTGACATAAAACAGCAGCCAGACACAATCCAGTGCGAGTTCCCAAGCTCATGTCATGTAGGTCCCTACACTCAGACGTCCAGCAGCTGGATACTGGGAACACGGGTCACACTAGCCCATGTCTCAAATCTTGAACTGCACCAAATGGACCCCATGGGGCCTTTACCCCGAGGCATTATTCCAGAGAGGTTTTTCATGAAGAAGCAGCATAAGAGAATTTTCATTTTAGGCAAGACTCTCCTCAGACCATTCTCTTCTCTGAGAATCACAGGCTGAGAAAGGCCTTCAAGTTGTTAATTGATTTCAAGCCCTTGCTCAGCTCTTAAACAGGGTCACACACGTCACCATAGATCACTGTCTGTTCACAAACTGGCCCCGTACACAGAGGGCAAGGAGAGACCAGAGAAAAAGGCAGACCATTCCAGACTGGTAGGTGGGAGGTTTAATAAGCAAGGGAGCCTACTTAAGAGGCTTGTCTTGGGTGGATGTGAGATGAACAGAACTCCACACCTACCTGCCAGGATCTCAAAAATTGATACAGAGGCCTTACTGGGGTTCACTTAGGTATTCAGTCCAGACAGTCTCAAAACACATTACTCTCTCAAGGTTGCGTCCTTAAAGCAGCTCCCACCATGGGAACAGTAGGTGGAATGGACATTCCAAGGATGGCGGAGAGGAGCCTCTGATTGCCCTGGTCCAGCTCACAGCTCACCGGGCAAGTCACGACCTCTAGATGACCTCCAACAATCGCACTGTCAGCCAGTTAAGGAGGAAGCGTAACGCGCACGTCACTCACTTTGTGTAAAAATGGGATTCCCAGAGGATTAATAATTTACTCACGCATCATTTTGTCAAAGTCAAGAGGAGAGACCACTATAACCCCGAGTGGTATAGGCGTGTTGATAGACTTTTGTAAACAAACAAAAATTCAGGGCACAGAAGAAATGATATCAAGAATAAATGTGTCTTGCGGGGACGGTATAGCTCAGCGGCAGAGCTCACACTTAGCGTGCATGAGGTCCTGGGTTCAATCCCCAGTACCTCCATAAAAAAAAGAAGAAGAAGAAGAAGAAAGAGAAGAAGAAACGTACTTATTGGATCGATGAAAGGGGCTATGGAAATCTTCGACTTCTTGTAACATCTGGGATTACGTGGTTGCTGTCAGAATAGCCACTAGACAGTAAGGTAACTTTGAGCAAAGAAGGAAAAGGTGTCTTTCCTGCCTCTGATAAGATGCACCTCCACTGTGGGGCATGGGGTTTGATGAACCTAGTCTGGGCAGTCTTACGGCCCCACTGACCCCCATTGCCAAGTGGTCTCGTGCAGTAAGTGCCATGTACAACTCACTGTAGCAGCCCTGGTTATAGCAAAGACGAACTGTAGACATTTGTACATTCACTCATTCAGACTGTGTTCTACCTCACTCCAAACCCCATCCACGCACTGGAACTTATTCTCTTCCTTTATACAATTCACACGTGAATTATTCTAACACGGTAACGGTGGTTTTAGGTGTCCCTTTTAGCCGTGGATGAAATGCACATGAGCTTACCCAAGATGAAGAAGGACATTTACTGGGATGATTCTGCTGCTCGACCGCCGTACACGCTGGCAGCTGCTGACTACTGCATACCCTCGTTCCTGGGGTCAACAATCCAAATGGGGTGAGTGCATTTTAAAAACCATCCATATTTGGGAAATCAGTAGGTCACTGTTCTGATCTCTTTATGCTCCAGTCTTGAAGTTACTTTCATGAGAACTCTCAATGATTTGTATCTTTTAATGGTAGCCTTTTCAAATTTTCAGACATAATTAATAAGGCCAAGAGAGTGAGAAAGTAAAGAGATTATAGTTTCTGGTTGGTTTAAATAGGGGGTGGGTGTGTGTGTGTGTCTGTGTGTGTGTCTGTGTCTATATGTGTGTCTGTGTGTGTGTGTGTGTGTGTTTGGAGGTAATTTGCATCTTACCTTGCTCTTATACCACAGCAAACTTTCCAATAGTCATAAAACTATTCTCTTCTTCCCCTCCACCTTGAAGAGTGGTTCATTTAATTATAAAATTGTTTATTATTTAATTATGACTATCAGAGTTCAACGTATTTTAACAAATATTTACTGAGATATACCATGAGCAGGTGCTGTGTTAGGCTATTTTGAGACAAGCAAGGAATAAGATAAATTTTATCTGAAATTTTCTCGAAGATTATAATCTGATGAAACTGACACGTTTAGTATACAAGCCGGTCTCTGTTCAGTGGTTTTAACATAACAATCTGTCCCTGTGTGCTATGAGCTTTAAATAAATGGGCTGGGGCCTGCAGTAAAACATATATAGTTCGTGAATAATTTTATTAAATCTGATAATGTATTTGGTTTTGGAGAGATGTGTGAATGTGGGGGAGTTTAAGTATATTTGCTGAAGGCAGACGCCACAGTTTCCAAGTATCTTAAAGAGAAGAGTGTAGACAGATTTAGAAAAGTAAAAAGAAGCCCTCCAAAAAAATGTAGAATTTTGCAAATTTTTTCTCATAACTTTCGGCAGAACTATGGTTCATTGTTCCCTGAGGCCAGCTCTAAGCAGATTTGGGAAGCAAGCTTGTGCTGCCACCTGTGACCTTTCTTTCTCTTCCCTCCACACTGTTGAGCCCTCCTCGTTCCCTACTGTTAAAAACTAAAATTCAATTGTGTAAATTTTAAAGATCTTATTGTCTTTGTTTAATGACCCATGAATGGAGCAGCATCCAACCTAGCAGAAAGGCGCTCCAAGGAGGTGGACAAAGGAAGGACTTTTCTAGGCAGGAGGCAGCAGGAATAAGGAAGTCACACCAGGCCAAAAAGTGCGTGCGTGACCTTGCAATGGAGGCGCCATGGAGGGGTCTAGCAGGCATATTACCTAACTAGTGCTGATCAGACAGGACCCGTGTGGCCCTCTCTGTCCCTCGGTCCTACTTTTCTCTCCACTGGCTCAGGTGTCAAGCAGGCTCCCCCGTCGTGATGGCAGAAAGACCAGATGGCAGCCAGCAGCTCCCAGTGCCCAGCCTATCTTCTCAGCAAACCCCGTGGAAAGAGCACATCTCTTTTCCAACTCTTTAAAGCACTGGGATTTATGACGACTGGCTGGGCTCGGCTACCATGCCCATTCCTGAACCAACAGCTGTCAAAAGGAAGACACAATATTTGGATTGGTTAAGGTTACCTTGTGTGTCCATCTTTGGACCGAGGGATGTGGTCAGCCCCAACCAACCATATAGAGTAGGTGATGTCTGGAGCAAAATCAGCGTGCTATTACCAGGAGAAGGGCGAATGGTCTACCGCGCTGGCAAAAACAAGAGATGCCCTCTAAAATCGAAAAGATAACTCCCTCGCAGTGAATTGTTCGCTCACCAAGTGCCATGTCAGTACCAAGTAAACCATCTGACCGAGGCTCAGGGAAAAGGGAAGTAGAAGTAAGGATTTCTGTAGCACAGGAGGTTGGTGATGCCTGAGCCAGCGAGCTCCTGGCATTAGGAGGAAGACGGGGTGTCAGTGTGGTACGGATGCAAACGTTTCAGTGTTTGCTGCTTGATGGCATATAAAATCCTTTCCTGGATTTTTTTATTTTCTTATTCTACTTAGGATGTAGGTTCCCAGCATATTTCTTTCGGAAATCAAATTTGCCTTATCTTTTCAGATCAACCTTTCAGGTGTGTAAATCACAATTCCCAGAAATGACCCAGAAATTCCAAGATCGAGGAAAGGGCACTTCAATAACTCAGCAGAAGTACCGTCCCAGGGAACCTGAGGGATGACTCTGTCTCCCGTTTTCTTTCACATTCAGAGCACTACTCATTTCCACATGAAAAGGAAACTCCTTGGAGACAATTCCTTTGTTCCTTACATTCAGGAACACATTCAAAATACTGCCCTACTTTCTGCACATTTACCGAATATACATTATTGAAATAAAATAACTTCCTCCCACCTTTTATCTCAAGTACAAATTTAATTGACCATGTTTTTCCTTTTATCTTCACATACGGAATGTACTCATTCATTTATTCAGGCAAAATTTTCTTGGAGGTTCTCTTGTATGGTAGGTTCTATGTCAGACACTAGAGAGAGGCAAAAACAAAACCAAAAATCAAAAAACACACCTTCTAAGCTCACAGACACAAAGAGGAGACAAGTTATAACACGATGTGGTACACGCAGCAATAGACAAATGCTGAGTCTTCTGGGAACACAGGGGAGGTACCCTTCACAGAGACCGGGGAGTCAAAGGAGGCCCTTGGAGTTGGGGAGTCTAATGTGCATCGTTCAGAATGAATTTGGAGCCAACACAGAGAGCAGGGGGGTTCCAGCAGAGGGTGAGCAAAGACGGAAAGGAGCGATGGTATATTCAAAGTAGAAATGTTTTAAAATTTGAGCTTATTGAGGTATAGCTGACATATAGAATTATAAGACAATTAAAGTATATATTGTGGTGATTTGATATATGTATACATTGTGGAAGGATTCCACCATCTGGTGGACTAACACATCACTATACATATACATATATATATATGTTATATATATATATATATATATATATTTGATGAGAACGTTTAAGTTCTATTCTCTTAGCAAATTCCAATTATTCAATTCAGTGTTATCAACTCTAGTCACCATGTTTCCATTAGCTTCTCGGACCTTATTTACCTCACAGCTTAACATTAACACGCTTTTACCTAGTTTATCTCTATTTACCCCCAGCCTCCCAGCCCCTGGCGGCCACTTTTCTACGCTGTGCTTCTATTAGAGTAACAATTTGATATGCAAAGTAGAAGAGCCAAGAAATGAATCTGGAGAGGGAGGGAGGTGAGGGAGGATTACGGAGGGTTTTATAGTCTGAGGAACGCGTTTCAGCCTTGTCCCAAAGCTATTAAGTGACATGGTCACAGTTGTGTTTCAGGCAGCTTATCTGGCTGAAAGATGGATGGCTGGGGGTAAGACCAGAACCAGGGACCAGTGAGCTGACCATCAGTACAGTTTAGAGTGGAGAGGATAAGGGCCTGACTCGGGTGACCCTACAAGGCGTGTAGACAGTGGAGATGGCAGAAGGGACAGATTCGAGAAAAGAGGAGGAGCTGAGAATGACAGGGTGGCTGGTAATGAGCCAAGGGTCACAGAGTGTATTCAGGAAGAGCTGCCATTGGAGGGAGGTGATAAGCTTCCTTTTGCATGGGCTACATTTGAGGCATCTGTGGACAGTTCACAGGGAGATGGCCCAGCCAGCAGTGAGAACAGAGACAAAATCCAAGCGGGAGGATGCATCTGACTGTTATCAGCACTGGGTGTGTGAGACAGTGAGAGGGACCACCCAAGGACAGGGTCAAGTGAGTAGGCCAGAGGGAGAAAGGCGTCCTTGAAAGAGAGCAGGAATGGTCAGGAGAGATGCAGGAAGAGAACCCAGAGGATGCCCTGTCTTAGGGGCCAGCGGTGGACGTTCCAACATCAGGTCTGAAAAACACCATGAGAGTTTGCATTTTAAGGTCGTTGGAGACCTAAGTGAGAGTGTTGGGCAGAAGCTGAATTACAGGAGGTTGAGGAGTGACTGGGAGGCAAGGAGATCAAGATTTCCAGTGGGAACTACTTTAAAAATAATTGTATAATGGCAAATTCCAAACGTACACAGAAGTAGAGAACAAACTGCAATTAACCTCATGTACCCATCACCCACCTTCCATTATCATGGTCAGCCTGGTTTCCTCCATCCTCCCACCCACCTTCACCCTCCCCACCACCGGCCCATTGCAAAGCAGATCTAAACACAATGCCATTTGCCATTTTCATGCCTAAGAAAACCCCAAATCAAACAAAAAACCTCACAATAGTTCCTTAATTCATTAACTCGTCATGAACTACTTTTTTGAGAAGTCTGGACTATGGAGAGGAGATAAACCAGACAGGAATCAGTAAGGGACAGCGAGGAATGGCCTGGGAGCCACTGGTGACCAAGATTAAGAAAACTGCCCACAAGCAGCCAAAAAAGAGGCATTCATAAGACACACACCAAGAAATCAGGCCCAAATCCTAAAATGAAAACAGGTCTTCTTCGGGCGCTAGTAGACACTTGACGCTCGGTAAGTTTCACTTAACCAAAACAAGCCAAGGCTGCTCAAACTCGAGCCGGCGTTGCTGAAAACACGTTTCTTTTTAAAACAAACAAACAAGTAAGGTCCAGGCCTTTCCTGCCACAGCGAGCTTGAGGCAGGGTGCTTGTCTTCACATCCTAGCATCCTGGGTTCACTCCAAAATTCTTGCTTTTTAAATATCTGGGATTATCATCAGCACAGATTTTTAAGGCTCTGAGGAATGGAGCACGTGGACGTTAAAAACCTCTCAGAACTCCCTTTCATCCTGTCTTGGAAGTCAAAATGGCCAACTGGAAACCAGCGATACTCCCTTAAAGGCACTGGGGAAACCCTAACAAAACACCCATCCACAGCAGCTGCAGGATTCGAAGTTCTGGAGAAGAGAGGCTGCAGCTGCTGATGAATTAGGTCACTCAAGCGTGTCGTGAGGGGTGACACGGAGGACTGTGCTCACTGTGTCTTGCTAATGGATAAGGTCATACTCTCAGCCCGGGAACCTTAAACTGCTGGCTGCAGTCCTATTCCAAGAGACTGTCTTCTTGGGTTTTC